TATTCAAAATATTTACCTGAGGGCCACTAATACTAGTGGCCTCTAGGACAGGAAGCCAGCAGCTTGTCATAGGTCCCCCCCCACATTTGCCCTGATTATCTTTCCAGTTGTATTTTAAAACCCAACAGTTTTGGCATTTACAACTTCAGCGGGTATTTATAAGAACATAAGAACAAAGGCAACTGCAGAAGGCCTATTGGCCCATACGAGGCAGCTCCTATTTATAACCACCCAATCCCTCTCATATACATGTCCAACCCGCACTTGAAACAATCGAGGGACACCACCTCCACAATGTTACGCGGCAATTGGTTCCACAAATCAACAACCCTGTTACTGAACCAGTATTTACCCAAGTCTTTCCTAAATCTAAACTTATCCAATTTATACCCATTGTTTTGTGTTGTCTTGTGTTGATACTTTTAATACCCTATTAATATCCCCTTTGTTATGTCCATTCACCCACTAGTAAACCTCATGTCACCCCTAACTCTTCGCCTTTCCAGTGAATGCAACTTAAGCTTTGTTAATCTTTCTTCATATAAAAGATTTCTAATTTGGGGAATTAACTTAGTCATCCTACGCTGGACACGTTCAAGTGAATTTATATCCATTCTATAATATGGCGACCAAAACTGAACTGCATAATCTAAATGGGGCCTAACTAGAGCAAGATATAGCTTGAGAACCACACCAGGTGTCTTGTTACTAACGCTGCGATTAATAAATCCAAGTGTCCGATTTGCCTTATTACGAACATTTATGCATTGATCCTTTTGTTTTAAATTCTTACTAATCATAACTCCCAGATCCCTTTCGCAATCCGACTTCGCAATCTCAACACCATCTAGCTCGTATCTTGTAACTCTATCATCATTACCTAGCCTCAGAACTTTACATTTATCAGCATTAAACTGCATTTGCTAATCCTTTGTCCATTTCAAAACCCTATCTAGATCAACTTGAAGTGATAGTGAGTCCTCCTCCGAATAAATTTCCCTACCAATTTTCGTATCATCGGCAAATTTGCAAATGTTGCTACTCAAACCTGAATCTAAATCATTTATATATATTATAAACAACAGAGGTCCCAGGACAGAGCCCTGAGGCACCCCACTTACAACATTTTCCCACTCTGACTTGACTCCATTTATACTAACTCTCCGTTTCCTTTGGTATAGCCATGCCCTAATCCAGCTTAATATAGCACCCCCAATACCATGAGACTAACTTTTTAATCAGTCTTTCATGTGGCACTGTATCAAAAGCTTTGCTAAAGTCAAGGTACACAACATCGCAATCCTTACCACTATCAACTGCCACAACAATGCTAGAATAAAAGGATAACAAATTTGTTAAACATGAACGGCCATTTATAAAACCATGTTGCGACTCAATTATTAATTTATGTTTTTCAAGATGAAGACAATTTTATTTGCTATTATAGATTCGAGTAACTTTCCCACAATAGACGTTAGGCTTATTGGTCGATAGTTAGACGCAAGTGATCTATCTCCTTTCTTAAAAACTGGTATCACATTAGCAACTTTCCAAAACTCTGGAACTCTGCCTGACTCTATTGATTTATTAAATATGGTTGACAGTGGGTCACAAAGCTCCTCTTTGCATTCTTTAAGCACCCTGGCAAACACTTCATCCGACCCTGGGGATTTGTTTGGTTTGAGTTTTACTATTTGTTTAAGAACATCCTCCCTGGTAACTGTTAAACTCGTCAACCTGTCCTCGTCCCTACCCACATAGACTTGTTCGGTTGAAGGCATTGTTAAGTTCCTCTTTAGTAAATACAGATACAAAATATTTATTAAAAATACTACTCATCTCTTCATCACTATCTGCTATTTGACCTGTCTCAGTTTTTAATGGACCTATCCTTTCCCTAGTCTTAGTACGATATAACTGAAAAAACCCTTTAGGATTTGTCTTTGCTTGCCCTGCTATGCCAACTTCATAGTTTCTTTTTGCTTTCCTTATCTCTTTTTTAACATTTCTAACCAGTTGTACGAATTCCTGTTCTAAAGTGACCTCCCCATTTTTAATCCTTTTGTACCAAGCTCTCTTTTTACCTATAAGGTTCTTCAAATTCTTTGTTATCCACTTTGGGTCATTGGTATTCGATCTATTCAATCTGTATGGTATACTACGTTCCTGTGCTTTGTTTAGAATATTCTTAAATAAGTTATATATTGAACCCACATCGAAATCCCCATTTACGTCACCTATCGCTGGGTTCATGTCTCGCTCCAAGACCGGCCCACACCCCATACCCAAGACTTTCCAATCAATTTGACCCAAAAAATTTCTAAGGCTATTAAAATCAGCTTTTCGAAAATCTGGCACTTTAACAGAATTTTCTCCTACAGGTCTATTCCATTCTATGCTAAATCTGATTTCTTTGTGATCACTGTTCCCTAGCTCACTTCCTATTTCGATGACATTAATTTGTGTTTCCCTGTTAGTTAACACTAAATCTAAAATATTATTTTCCCGTGTTGGTTCCTTAATGTGTTGCATAAGAAAGCAATCGTCAATTAATTCTAGAAAATCTTCTGCTTCACTATTCCCTGTTTTGTTCAACCAGTTTATTCCACTAAAATTAAAGTCACCCATGACGTAAATACTGTTAGATCTAGATGCCCTAGATATTTCATCCCATAGATGCTTTGCTTCCATTCTGTCTAAATTTGGTGGCCTATATATAACTCCTATATGGCCTATATATTATTTTTAATCGTCTCCCATATTTCAACACATTAGTAAGGTACACCATTTGTGAAGAATGTGATATTTATTGTTTACCTATTTGAAATCACATATGCACTATTTCTTCTTGTTTTCATCGCACGTTGCCAACAATCAGCAACTCTACCCTAACTCTTCGTCAGTGATACTTCAACCTATTTATCCTACTTTGCCACGACCTAATTTTCAGATGCAGTATTACAAGAATATACATCCTGGAAAAATTACAGATGGAAGAGAACTAAATTTGTATCTCTGGTTTACAAATACAGCACAGTTGTGTACACAAAATCAAGATTTTGTGAGAGAACTGCCCTGTATTTGCAAGCAGATTGAGAAATTATATAAAATTGTAATTTTATATAGATGTACAATTCCCTCCACATTCTATATTTCTGTACCAGACAACACCATAGAGGTTCTTAACCATTTTATGATTATAGACCCCAAATGGATTAGACCCAGTACGGCATGTCCTCATATTCCCTTTGCTGGACTGTCGAAGAACACAACTTGTCGCATTAGGTACAAATATAACTCGTCGCATGACTTATAGTACGAGTTTAAAAGATGTCAACACCTTTACTTTACTTTACATATGGATAAGCTAGGAACAGTACAGCAGAAAAGAAAATCATTGAATAACATTTATAGAAAATGCCAAATTCCAAATACAAAAGCTAGCTACAACTAACTATTTTTGTTTTTGTTTTGTGCAATCAAAACATGACACAGGTAAGTTAATTCTTTTTTTCTTTTTAAGTAGTTTGGAGTCACACAACCCCATTATATGGTTCTCAATGACGGGGGGACCTTCGGCAAGCTGCCGGCTTCCTGTCCCTGACGAGGCCACTAGGGTTAGAAGCTCTCAGGTAAATCAAGTATACCTGTTTAAGACCCCATATACTACAGTACAGTATATAGTAACTTCTGCACAGTCATTAAAAATATAAAATAAAATGTTTATTCATGTAAAAGTACACACACACAAGATGAGTTACAAACTGTGATTTCTAGATAGAGCTAGTACATACTAGGCCTAAAGTCACTAGTACACACAGCGTTTCGGGCAAGATAATCAAGATATTTTAGTTATAAATAATAATTATATAATTAAGATAATTCTAATGGGTATTCATAATAACTTCGAAAGTTACAGTACAGTATACTGTACTACATTCACAAATTTGCATTGTTGTTCCTTACTATGCAAGCAGGGCATCATCCCTGAAGCTTTACCATTGGCACGCACAGTATTCTTCCTCTCCTACTCTGCCACCACCCACCCTTGTCATAGGATGTCAAAAATTTTGCATAAAGAAATTTAGCCTATTCCATGTTTAAACTTCAAAATACAGTATAAAATGCAATAAATTCTAGCTTTTGGCCACTAGGCATTTTTAAACCACACTAGAGCACATTACTGTTTATAAGTGGCACTTAATTCAGATAAAACTAATACTGCACATTAACTACAATACTTGTAACTTTAAGGTACAGTATATAATTGTCTTTAAAAATACAGTACAGTACTAACAAAGTATAAATTGGTGCAAAAATAAACTGATGCACTACTGGAAAGATTTTATGCCACACCGACATTTGCAAGCGTGGACACTATGATTATTTTCAATGTTGCACTGTGACATGGTTATATATTTTTATATTTAAGAATTTTATTTTACCAGAAATGCTGTGCATTTTCAGGTAGTTGCTTTTCAAGTACAGTATCTATCTTACTTATTACAGAACTTATCAAATTATACTTAACAACTGAAGCAGTACAAATAATGTACTTATGTATTTACTGAAACAAACCCAATTGTTTTTGTTTTTTTAATAAATCAATAACTGTTTAGCAAGAGATATGACTTCACACTGACCCAAACCAAGAAAGAAAAGAACTATACATTAAGCAATATACAGTAGCTTGTTATGTCGCCTGCATACATGCATAGATCAATTCAAAACACACTGAAATCTTACTACAGTACACTAAAAATATAAAAATAATAGTACTTATAAACTTGTGTTCTACATATAAATTTATGCTATAGCACTTAAAATACAAGGTAAAAAAAGAATTTTGTTAATTTAGCAAATAATGTCTACAATATTAATGAAACAAGGATCTACGTCTTGTGATGCATAAATAAGCACTCCCATGCCAATAGAATGTTGTTAAAAGGGTGTAACGCACTCAAATGACCACAACGATTTATTTCCCAAGACTCTGTTACCGGCGGGAAAACTTTCTGAAGCTGATCCCGAGAAAGCTGAGCTTTTTCCAGCTTTTCCCGTAATTGATCCACCAACTGAAGCTCCATTTTGACTAGTCCAATAGTAACTTCCACCGAGAGGTCAAATGGATGGAAAAAACCAAGAGGGGAGGAAAAGAGAGGCTGAAAATAATGCAAATCATAATACAATAATAGCAGCTTCTGTAATCACAAAAATATTTGTAGCAACAAAAAAATATATAAAGCAGCTGGCATTGCAAAACAATTAATATAGCAAACAAATTTATAATTACAGATAGAGAACTGAAAATGGAGTTAACAGCTATGGAACACCCATTCCTTCCCTAACCCCTCCCACCCACCCAAAAATAAAAAATTCTTTAAGTTGTGTAATGAGTTAATTGTGTTTTGGTCATTTTCAGGGAGGTAAAATTTATGAAAATACATTTCAATACCTCTTCAAAATATTGGTAAACTTTAGTTGAAGAATTAATGGGATTTAAAATTACACACAGCACAAACAAATAAGAATGGCAGGTACAAAAGCATCTTTGGTGGAATACTAATGCTTTTTTTTTTTTTTACCAGAAATGACTTATTTTGCATATTTTCATTAATACTTTGTTATTCATATGAGGTGTCCCTACACTAAAAGATTTTGCACACACTATACAGCATTGTTACATGTCAACTACTGTATAATTAAAAGCCTCGGCATTTGTATACAGTACATATTAAGAAGCGTGGCAGTTCCACTCACTTTGCCAAGCTGTCGCAAGATGCACAACTTAATAAATCCCATTTTATCAACACATCTATGCTCAATTTCTCCAACACTTCAAATGCTACAGGTAAAAGTCCTTCCAATTCAAGATTTATGCAATGAAATAAAGTGGGTGATAATACTTTAGGGCCTCGAGGCTCACCTTGCAACAAATAACTAGCAAGGGCACGGAGGGGGATGAAGAATGACAGTATCCGGTAGGCAAGGCTCCACTGTATTAAAACCTAAATGAAATCATTAATAATAATCACAAAAGATTTTAGATATTTTTAAGATTCAGTACTTGTATTTTTATTATATTAAGATATTTTTAAGGTAGTTTAATACACTTATGTACTGGGGTATAGCGTTTAGTACATCATGCTGTACAATTACATTGTCTTGAGCTTTGGGCCATGAACACAAAAACCTGCTTGATCAAAACCGCATATTTTTCAGTGTAATCAACTTGTAACTTTTCCTAATGAAGTGGCACGGTTCAAACACCTGGCCAGGGGTCGAAGTGGCATGGTTCAAACACCTGGCCAGGGGTCGAAGTGGCACGGTTCAAACACCTGGCCAGGGGTCGAAGTGGCACGGTTCAAACACCTGGCCAGGGGTCAACGTGGCATGGTTCAAACACCTGGCCAGGGGTCGAAGTGGCATGGTTCAAACACCTGGCCAGGGGTCGAAGTGGCACGGTTCAAACACCTGGCCAGGGGTCGAACTGGCACGGTTCAAACACCTGGCCAGGGGTCGAAGTGGCACGGTTCAAACACCTGGCCAGGGGTCGAAGTGGCACGGTTCAAACACCTGGCCAGGGGTCGAAGTGGCACAGTTCAAACACCTGGCCAGGGGTCGAAGTGGCACAGTTCAAACACCTGGCCAGGGATCGAAGTGGCACGGTTCAAACACCTGGCCAGGGGTCGAAGTGGCACGGTTCAAACACCTGGCCAGGGGTCGAAGTGGCACGGTCCAAACACCTGGCCCGGGGTCGAAGTGGCACGGTCCAAACACCTGGCCCGGGGTCGAAGTGGCACGGTCCAAACACCTGGCCCGGGGTCGAAGTGGCACGGTTCAAACACCTGGCCAGGGGTCGAAGTGGCACGGTCCAAACACCTGGCCCGGGGTCGAAGTGGCACGGTCCAAACACCTGGCCCGGGGTCGAAGTGGCATGGTTCAAACACCTGGCCAGGGGGTCTAAGTGGCACGGTTCAAACAGGATTCTATCCTTGTAATTTTTTCCACCACGCTAGCCACAATTTCAATTAATAAACCACTCCTTATGCTCAATAGTACAGTATTTTAATAAAAGATTATTAGCACTTTAAAACTGTATAAAAAAATTACGAGGCATTTTACAGGCTAACATTGATGAACTAATCCAGTACCTTTCAATGAACGTTTTATACCCAGAAAAAACAGTACAGCATAGTACAGTACTGTATGTAACCAATTGTCATTTAATTTGAAGTCATTAACCTAAAATACTGTCCAAATACAGTATTGCAAATAATCTATATACAGTACTTGGTATTTTATCGAGGCTAACGGTGAATCTTCCAAACTTCGTTAAAAAGTTAAAAGATTAATTATTTGAGGAAAATTACAATTATACCTGCCAGTCAAAATTTGAATTAGCGAGACCAAAACACAATCTGTTAAACCAATTCTAGAAAATACCATGAGAAAGCTGTATTAAGAATGAAAATAATATTTTACTGAAGCATTAATGAAAAATAATAAATGTAAAGCCGAGAACGCCAAGCAATACACCAAGTCTACTATACGTACACCACCATGTACATTCATGCTCTAGGCTACGTAACTCCAGATAATCTGCCAAACATTACCCGGAACTACCACTAGTCCCTACACTACGAGAACCACTTCACCCACAGCCAGTCGAACATGCACAACCCTGGCAGCACCAAGCATTGTGGAGCAATTCTCCCCGATTGCTTTACGTCAAGGCTACGTAAACCTCGACATAGTCTAGGGTAGAACTGGACCATGTACGGTAACATCGTACATTTGTAAGACAACTGGTAAATGCCACTACTAGCGTTTCCCCCAATTAGGGCAACGCCAGTAGTGGCAAGATCATGTCATTCCATTATTACAATTCATAATGGTTTTTTGGGTTTCTTTTTTCCAAAAAGTGAGCAATGATCTGTAGTGAGGCACACTAGATAACTCCAAAACACGATGTTGGTATAATAATTCAGCACCTGCGGTGTTAGTGCCCCGCTGCCACCACACACACTGGGGGTCCACCACACACACACACTCCCCTCTATTCACCCTTTAAAGGTCACCTTCAACACTCACCCACAACACACGCACCACCTCACAATTGCTTCAACCCACTCCAAAAAAATATATATATATACCTTCAGCGCCAGTGTCTATTGCTGGTTTTGCAATAGACGTATTCACAAAGATACTACTGATCATTCAGAAAGGTCTTCTAACTTGACAAGTCCTGGTTGTGTCCATAATCATGCAGTATGAGCCGCGTGAATATCATGTTACCAGGTAGTTATCAACCCAACCTCAGCATGCTAACTGACCTTGAACTACCAGATATAAAAAGACCACCCGGCGTCCAACTTAAAGAGTTGAATGCATCAATCACCCGGCATACTATCACCTGTCAACTCCCCCGGCCCCCCTCCCCAGGCCAAGCCCCAGCCTCCCCACAGGATGTCATTGACGGGACTTAAAATAAACTAAGCGTAACGGAGCCTCCAAGCACGTCTACTGGACCCTATCTCCCACCCACCCCCGGGGGGACAATCTCTACGTCATATTACGCCTACTTTCACGTCTAGATTGACACCGCCTGCATGGGCACTTACCTTCCTCGCGACGGCACCGTCCTCACTCGCAAACACCCACCCTCTCCTGCAGGAATTAGCTACGAGTTATAAATAAATCTTGGCTACAGGAGCCGGGGCCGTCGTCTGCTCCGCCAATCAGCTGAGACAGCTACCTTCGCCCGCCGGGTTCGACTGCCTTTATGCCCTGCTCCGAGTACATACTTAGCTATTTCATTCGTCAGAAGGGTTTTGAAACGTTGATGACTTGGGGGGGAGGAAAAAGATGCGAGAGTACTCACCTGGGCGGTGTGTCTGAGGCAAGAGAAGAAGGACACTGAAGGTGACCTTGTTGCTGCTACGATAGCGAAGTCTGCGCAGGACGACGCTCCCTGCCAGATGTCGCTGGCTCTCCACCCTCTTAATGCATCTTCTTCATATAATATACCATTATTTATTCATCATATTAAATAACTATTATTAACAAATTAGCTTACATTGCGGTATAAGCGATAATTGCTCATATAAATTAATTAAATATTCTGTTTTTCGGTATATTTCTTCTGAAACGTGAATTATCGTACATTTGTAAGACAATGACGCAATCATTGCGTCAATTTCTCGCGCCACATTTATTTTTTTATTGAAGCTTTCACTTCTATGAACTAATGGTTGGTTTGTTATACATATTCAATGTTGCTAATTAATTGTTACATACAAGAATAGTTAAGTGGATTAATAATATTTATACACTCTGAACAAATGAGAGACCATTTATTTTGAATTGAATTAAATGAATTTAGCCCTGTACAGTTCCCCACGTGAGCAGACCTGTGCGCATGCTTTCCCATATATCATATGTATTGTATTATTTATTTATATGTAAAGAAGGTACATGGGTTGTGAAAGTACAGATGCAGATAATTAAATGGTTACATCAATGTTTCAAAGCCTTTACAATACGCATGGTGTTCGGCCAAGTAAGAATAATAATAATAATAATAATAATAATAATAATAATAATAATAATAATAATAATAATAATAATAATAATAATAATAATAATAATAATAATAATGTTTATTGAGGTAAGAGTACATACATACAAAATGAGTTACGAACATAATGTTGAGTTTCTAGATAGAGCTAATATATACTATGCCTAAAGCCATTAATACGCACAGCGTTTCGGGCAAGATGTGAGAAAACACTTAAAAATTAAGACAAACTAATTGAGATCAAAAGAAAGAATTGGACTGAAAAAGTGAAAAAAGTATAGAGAATAACAATAGTTATATGTTGGATGGAAACATATTTTAACAGAATCAGCATTAGTAATTTTAACTCAATAAACAGACTTGATTTTTTTATACACATGTTTTTGTACAAGTTTATTATACCTGGAAAATATCAGCAGTTATACAAGTTGGTCAGTAATCAGCATGTTCGAAAATAGCAGGACATAGTTTGACATTTAGGAGGTAAGGTAGGTTACATGGAGTTGATTATGTAGTACTGTACTTTGTTTTTCTCTTAAACTGCTTGAGTGAATCAGTCTTTGATGTGATTGGGAAGGTCATTCCACATTTTGAATCCCTTGATTTGCAGAGCATTTTTATATAGGGTTAAGTCACACTCTTGAAATATCAAATAGACATATGTTTCTAGTGTGGTGCCCATGGGTTCTGTTACAACCTTCAAGGAAGCGTTTAAAGTCAAGATTGGCATTACAGTTCTGAGATTTATATATATATATATATATATATATATATATATATATATATATATATATATATATATATATATATAGAGAGAGAGAGAGAGAGAGAGAGAGAGAGAGAGAGAGAGAGAGAGAGAGAGAGAGAGAGAGAGAGAGAGAGAGAGAGAGAGAGAGAGAGAGAGAGAGAGAGAGAGAGAGAGAGAGAGAGAGAGAGAGAGAGAGAGAGAGAGAGAGAGAGAGAGAGAGAGAGAGAGAGAGAGAGAGAGAGAGAGAGAGAGAGAGAGAGAGAGAGAGAGAGAGAGAGAGAGAGAGAGAGAGAGAGAGAGAGAGAGAGAGAGAGAGAGAGAGAGAGAGAGAGAGAGAGAGTACACTTGAGAGGATGTGCAGTGACTTAATATCTAACATATTCAAAGATTTAAGTAAGAGGTCCGAGTGCTCTCTGGGGCCAGAATGTGTTATTGATCTAATAGCTGATTTGTGTTGAGTAATTTAGAGGACATAGATGATTTTGGGTAGTAGAACCCCAAACACAGAAACCATAAATGAGATTAAGATAGATGAGAGAGTAATAGAGCGTTACGAGGGCAGGACGAGGTATTTGATTTTAGAAAGAATACCAACTGTTTTAGAAACAATCTTTAGATTAAGTCTTTAAATTAGGCTAATACAAAATTTGCTGTCAATTTTGACTAACAGAAGTAGTCACAGATATATAATAATAAAAATTATAGTTAACATAATTACTGTATTAATATTAATACCGTATTGTAATGTTAACAGGGGTCGAACCTGGCCTCAGGCCGGGCTCGGGGAGTAGAAGAAATCACTAAACCCTCTCCAGGTAGCCTTTCTCAGGTAGCCTCTCTCAGGTAGCCTCTCTCCAGGTAGCCTCTCTCAGGTAGCCTCTCTCCAGGTAGCCTTTCTCAGGTAGCCTCTCTCCAGGTAGCCTTTCTCAGGTAGCCTCTCCCAGGTAGCCTCTCTCAGGTAGCCTCTCTCCAGGTAGCCTTTCTCAGGTAGCCTCTCTCAGGTAGCCTCTCTCCAGGTAGCCTCTCTCAGGTAGCCTCTCTCCAGGTAGCCTCTCTCCAGGTAGCCTTTCTCAGGTAGCCTCTCTCAGGTAGCCTCTCTCCAGGAAGCCTCTCTCAGGTAGCCTCTCTCCAGGTAGCCTTTCTCAGGTAGCCTCTCTCAGGTAGCCTCTCTCAGGTAGCCTCTCTCAGGTAGCCTCTCTCCAGGTAGCCTCTCTCCAGGTAGCCTTTCTCAGGTAGCCTCTCTCAGGTAGCCTCTCTCCAGGTAGCCTCTCTCAGGTAGCCTCTCTCCAGGTAGCCTTTCTCAGGTAGCCTCTCTCAGGTAGCCTCTCTCCAGGTAGCCTCTCCCAGGTAGCCTCTCCCAGGTAGCCTCTCTCCAGGTAGCCTCTCTCAGGTAGCCTCTCTCCAGGTAGCCTCTCTCAGGTAGCCTCTCTCAGGTAGCCTCTCCAGGTAGCCTCTTTCAGGTAGCCTCTCTCAGGTAGCCTCTCTCAGGTAGCCTCTCTCCAGCTAGCCTCTCTCAGGTAGCCTCTCAGGTAGCCTCTCTCAGGTAGCCTCTCTCCAGGTAGCCTCTCTCAGGTAGCCTCTCTCAGGTAGCCTCTCTCCAGCTAGCCTCTCTCCAGGTAGCCTCTCTCCAGGTAGCGTCTCTCAGGTAGCCTCTCTCCAGGTAGCCTTTTTCAGGTAGCCTCTCTCAGGTAGCCTTTCTCAGGTAGCCTCTCTCAGGTAGCCTCTCTCCAGGTAGCCTCTCCCAGGTAGCCTCTCCCAGGTAGCCTCTCTCCAGGTAGCCTCTCTCAGGTACCCTCTCTCCAGGTAGCCTCTCTCAGGTAGCTTCTCTCAGGTAGCCTCTCTCAGGTAGCCTCTCTCCAGGTTGCCTCTCAGGTAGCCTCTCTCAGGTAGCCTCTCAGGTAGCCTCTCTCAGGTAGCCTCTCTCCAGGTAGCCTCTCTCCAGGTAGCGTCTCTCCAGGTAGCGTCTCTCCAGGTAGCCTCTCTCAGGTAGCCTCTCTCTAGGTACCGTCTCTCCAGGTAGCCTTTCTCAGGTAGCCTCTCTCCAGGTAGCCTCTCTCAGGTAGCCTCTCTCCAGGTAGCCTCTCTCAGGTAGCCTCTCTCAGGTAGCCTCTCTCAGGTAGCCTCTCTCAGGTAGCCTCTCAGGTAGTCTCTCTCAGGTAGTCTCTCTCAGGTAGCCTCTCTCAGGTAGCCTCTCTCAGGTAGCCTCTCTCCAGGTAGCCTCTCTCCAGGTAGCCCCTCTCCAGGTAGCCCCTCTCCAGGTAACCCCTCTCCAGCTAGCCCCTCTCCAGGTAGCCTCTCACCAGGTAGCCCCTCTCCAGGTAGCCTCTCTCCAGCTAGCCCCTCTCCAGGTAGCCCCTCTCCAGGTAAACCCTCTCCAGCTAGCCCCTCTCCAGGTAGCCTCTCTCCAGGTAGCCCCTCTCCAGGTAGCCTCTCTCCAGGTAGCCTCTCTCCAGGTAGCCCCTCTCCAGCTAGCCCCTCTCCAGGTAGCCCCTCTCCAGGTAGCCTCTCTCCAGGTAGCCTCTCTCCAGGTAGCCTCTCCAGGTAGCCTCTCTCTCAGGTAGCCTCTCTCATGTAGCCTCTCTCCAGGTAACCCCTCTCCAGGTAGCCTCTCTCCAGGTAACCCCTCTCCAGGTAGCCTCTCTCCAGGTAGCCCCTCTCCAGGTAGCCCCTCTCCAGGTAGCCTCTCTCCAGGTAGCCTCTCTCCAGGTAGCCCCTCTCCAGGTAGCCCCTCTCCAGGTAGCTTCTCTCCAGGTAGCCTCTCTCCAGGTAGCCTCTCTCAGGTAGCCTCTCTCCAGGTAGCCTCTCTCCAGGTAGCCCCTCTCCAGGTAGCCCCTCTCCAGGTAGCCCCTCTCCAGGTAGCCTCTCTCCAGGTAGCCTCTCTCCAGGTAGCCTCTCTCCAGGTAGCCTCTCTCAGGTAGCCTCTCTCCAGGTAGCCTCTCTCAGGTAGCCTCTTTCCAGGTAGCCTCTCTCCAGGTAGCCTCTCAGGAAGCCTCTCTCCAGGTAGCCTCTCTCAGGTAGCCTCTCTCAGGTAGCCTCTCTCCAGGTAGCCTCTCTCAGGTAGCCTCTCTCCAGGTAGCCTCTCTCCAGGTAGCAGCCCCCCCCCCCCTCACAAAAGGGAATTTTTACTGTTAAGTGAACAGATGCATTAGGTGAAAGAAAACGTACCCAAGATTCGAAGCCGGGATTCCTGACTGTGAGTCGAGAACGAAAACAGAACTCTCCTTCCGTACTTCATTTATCCTCATATTTACAACCGTTCATGTGTAATACGTATGTGCTCTTGCAGATAAAAATTATTATTATTATTATTATTATTATTATTATTATTATTATTATTATTATTATTATTATTATTATTATTATTATTATTATTATTATTATTTTGGATAAAAACCCACACTTGTGGATTTTATGTAAAGAATTTACACCAGGTCTTTCTCACTCTTC